ACAGTGGAGAGTTCTAAAGTTTCGCAAGTCATATGTGAATGCTGGATCCATCTCCAAATTCTCTCGAAATCCTTAGGTGTTTGAACCACGTGTATTGGTTCAGGCACAACTTTCAGAAGGATGATATGCCCTTTACCAGGTTACTCATAAAAATTCTTGATCTTGCGTATTGCTATAACAGTCTGTTTTCAGTCTGGAATTCAGGATATGAAGTGTTTCTGAGTTTAATTTCAGAGGTGTAGCATCAGTCAACAGAGATATGTTTTATATGGGAGGTAACAACCGTTCTTTTACTAACAGCATGGAAAACAATATCTGCTCAGTAAAAGACCACCTGAACATCTCTTAATGTTACCATATTTGTATGTTTTTTTCTCTTTCCTACTCAGGCCTCACACCCATCTATTTAAGGCAATTAAAACTCCTTGTAACTTCAGGGAGATCTGGGCCATGAGTTTCTTACTTAGTGATATGAGAAGCATAGGTGGTAGCAACAAGAATTGTGTAGAGAATGGGAGAGCTGGGCACAATATGCCTTCCTCCATCCCACAAATATTTGTGAAATAGATTGGGTTTTTCTGAATGGAAGGGTGAGAAGACTAGAACTGAGAGCCTGGGAGCTCTGGTGTGCGAGCTGGGCAGAACCCAACACCTCTTCACCAAAATGGTTTATTGTGTGTGCATTCTGCAGTGGAAAATCATTCCACCAGAGCATTCCAACTGCCCAGGTTGAAGATTTTGGTTGTAATTCAGTGCAAGATGCATTGTATTACACACGTGCTTCTGTGTTTACATATACGACGTGTATCAGGTCAACTGGTGGTGTACATACTCAGCATCTCGCAAGGCTGAATCTTTAAGAATATCTACACTACAGAGTGCAGTGTGTTACCTGGACTAGCTCCCTTACTGGAAGGAATTGAGAAAAGGTAGCACCGAGCTCATTGCAGCCACATTTTTCCTGCTTCTTAAGCAATTTTTGCAGTGCAGTGAGTTGTGCACTGTCCTAACTAGGCTGCCTCCAGGATCTAAAATAGCTAGTTCAAAGATACAGGTATTACTAAGTTATGCTTCAATCTACAGTGCAGACATAGCCTCACTTATTTGTAGGTGATGTTCTCAGACCACTGTTGTGAGATACCTGATCTGGTCCATCTTTGTATTTAGTCCAGCTATGTATACAGGTACCACCTGGCATTTTGTTGTTATTTCAATATCTAAGAACAACGGAAAGTACATCAGAAAAGTGGTTTGAATTTGATGATACAGAAAAATCATAGTACCAAAGGAGCTTAAACTTAAATGTGTTACTAATCACGAACATTCTTGGAAGCCAGTGTGTTTAGTTGGGGCAGCAAGCTTAAAAACTACTAGAGCCAGATGGGCTGATTCATACATCAGCATGCAGCCTTATCTGCTGAGAAATCAAACCAGCAAGTGGAATATGGAAACCCTTTCTAAATCCTGCAATTGTGCATTTTTGCTTCTGATGTAAGCTTCCCCCATTTTAGATTTACATATTCCAGAGCGTACTCAAAAATTTTAGATCCTTAACTAGACTTTAAATGCTTTGATTTGCAGTCGTTCGGTGTAGAAATGATACAATCTACAATAAATGTCCCATTTATAAAGGCACTGTCCATAGTAGTGCCATAAAAGACAGCTGCAGATAAATGCTTGAAGAACTTGTACATGAAGTTTATTTTCATGACAGGAGGCAGGAGGTCTGAAATCCACTCTAGCTCAAGAGCTGATCCAGCTCTAAGAATGATGGTGAATTCTCTCCCTGACTCTATAAATCACCTCTCCTCTGACAATGCCTGGAGCATCCTGAGGTAGAAGAAAGGAGTTCAAGCTCAGAAGCGTGTGATGTCCTTTTGGGTCTCACTAATCTGTAAAAAGAGTCCCAGTGAATGCGAACCTAGTATTTTTGGTGTGATGATAACAATTTAATTCAGACAGATAGCAAAATACTTTACAGAGCTGCAAAAGGGAGGAATATCTAGTTCTGTTTAAAAGACAAGGTCTGGCTTTTGCCAATGCTAGAAAGAATATGTTTCGGGGGAAAAAAAAAAAAGTTAGCAGTGAATCTGTGGTAGAAGCTGGTAGGATTGAACCACTGGTGAAAAGCAGAAGATGCTTCCTAACATATGTCTGACAACTACTTAAGATTCACGGTGGCTGGTGCCAGGGAGACAGGATACAAACACTGCATCTCTTTGTGTCAGCAAGTCCAGTGTCACTATGGATGCAGGAGACATTAATTCCAAGGGGAGAGCAGTGCCAACTTTTCTCAAAGGAATCCCTTCACCAGCTCCTCCACTTAGGTAGTTATGAAGCTCAGTTTCCAATGAAAGTTGCTGCCTCCTGGCATTACCTCTGCTTCATTAAATAAGGAGGCAGTTATTTGGGCAGTTACACTCTACAAGGCCTGCAGAAAGGCAGGAGGAAGAGCCCAAAGTCACTGTGACTAGCACTACTCATTTCTGAAATGCAGCTTGAGAAACGGAGGGGAAACATACGTGACAGAATATAATGAGCATTTATGAGAGTAATTCGAATGGATGGCTAATGGCCAGGGCTCTGGCACGTTCCATTGAAAAATAACCAGGGAAACCAGAGAAATGAATTTCCTGCATATCACGGGATGCTGCACAAAAGACATTGTATGCCAGACACATAGGAATGGAAAGCTGGCGCAAGATGTGCAAGAGTGCTTGAGATTCCTATTCAGATCAGGCATGAACATTACCACTGAAGACAGAGCACCAAGTACGATATGCATAATCACTGCAGAAAGCAGAATGCAAATAACCCCTGAAATCACAGGAGATTCCTGGTCCTCTTTTGCCTAACATTGGTGCACATCTATCTGAATTACAGGCTCAATTAGCAAAAAAATAAACCTTAGTGGGACTCTCATTTTTAATGAGATGCTGCCCAGCTAGCAATTTAATGGCCCACCACATGTAGCAGATGATAGACTACAGATAGACTCTAGGAGCAGTTAAGAGAAGATGATGGATCACAATTCAGGAAAGGCTCATTCTGATAATCTTCTGGATTTATCAGTTTAAACACACGGTACAAAATTCTACCTGAAGACTGTGCATAGCAAGAACTTAATTTGATAAGGACTTGAGAATTTACAGGGGCCCTTACTCTTCCTTACTAGGTCATTGCAGAATGTTTTAAAATCTGGATAGGTATCATGGCATTTACAGCCTCATGAACAGAAAAAAGGCAAAAAGTTCACTGCTAAAGACACTCTAAGCAAAAAGTCAATCTAGAAGCATTTATGTTTCTACACTAAATACTGTACAGAGATATTTAAAAAAAAGAAAAAGCTCCTCACCCCAAATGCCAATTACCTACTGAGAGTGGGACTTCTGTGATTTAACTTTAGCTGTCAAAAAAGTATGCATCTAGCATAAGCTATTTGCCTGTGCTCCCTCAATAATCAGTGGAGAGAGACAGGCATCTCCAGGGAAAAGTTCTTCTCGTTCTGGGTAACAGGATAAATCACCATCTGGGGACAGCATGTTTCCAACAGCTATAAAGGGTATCTAGAGGATTCCCTTGCCAACTGAAGTTTAGATTAGCTGGAAAAACAGACCAGATTTGGGGCACACCGGCACACCAGTCCTTCTTTTGATCTGAAAACAGAAAATGGGTTGATGTTCCCAGCATCTTACTGCTTCGTCTAACAGTACTATTTGTACTATTTGGTCAAATAAAGCATACTACCTTACAAACTTTCTTTCCTATGTACTAGATCATCATAGATAAAACTCTACAATCAGCTAGATGCCAAAGTGTTAGATCTAAAGTTGAATGGGATGAATCTCATCCCAGGACACAAGAAAAGTGGCATCGTGGCATCAGATGAGTTATGTGCTTGAAATGCTTCTTCCTCATCACTGATTAGAAAACGATTCCAGATACCTAGATCAGATATTGGTGTACAGAGACAGATGTATATAATTGTCAGGACAGATGAATCCTACCAAAAATTGACGGGTGGGTGCCATTTATTCTCCAGTAAGTGCCATGAACGCACTCCAATCCCAGCTGAAGTGCAACCTGACTTGTGCACTCCTGTCCCCCTGCCATTGCGTACTGCCCCCTGCTCACAGGCTTTGGTCTGGGAACAGCTGGTTTCCTCAGACAATGAAACTCTCTGGAGAGAGTCAACTAAAACCCCCTTCTGTGATGCTGCATGAATACTCTTTTATAAGTGGAAATGAGGGGTGCCACTAAGACAGACATTTAGGGAAAAGCTCCAGTCAAATCTACCAGCCATTAGGCCATGTCGGGAATGTTGTAACAGCCTCGTGAAAGATCCTGCTTAGTCTCTTTCATACAGTGGCTCTTAATAATGAGCATATAATAAATGTACAGTCTGGAGGAATTTACTATACAGTATCCAATTGGATTTATATAGTCATAAACTTGTACACCACTGCTTCTATGATTTACAACAGTCTCTACTAATTATGAAGCTAAGCCTGGATTTGAGATGTAAAAGGCAAATGTTACCGGACTGGTTGTACAGTGATGCTATACAAATGCACGTTTGCCACAGCAATTTTGAATTGCTTGTTAACAGAGAACCATGTATTTTAGCCTGCTCTTATGAAAAGCACCAAAAGCAGAAACCTAGGAAATTTGTAGGATGGGGTTTTATTGTGATGGAGTGTAGAGATAAGGGAAGGGGCGGAGAGTCCATGGACCCCATCAATGAAGCTTCTGCTACCTTCTGCCTGGATTGTAGGAGACTGGACTTGGTAGCTTACCTGATCCCTTCCCAAATCTATATGTCTGATTTCCTGAAAAGAAACCACCATAGGAAATACTGTAACTTACTGTAGGACAAGCCTCTCATGACCTAAATAGATACAGAAGGATGTTTACTTCACAGAAGTTTTCCAGCACAGACTGTTACTCAGCACATTAAATAACTACTTCAGAAAGGACTGTATGCCATTAATAGGAATTACCTGGGCATCGTGGGCAGCACAGCTGTGCTACATGCACAGGGGAAGGACAGTGTAGACTTGGGCATCTTATTCTGCTGCACAGTACATTTCCATTCTGCAAGTGGAACATAATACAATACTTCAATGAAATGGGCTGTCTTACCAATTTCCATGTTCTCTATTCTGCATCTAGATATTTTAAAAAGAAATGCGTTTTTACAACATTCTGATTTCACTCACACCAGGGTAAGCCCAGACTGCTTTCACTGCCTCTGAATTTATGCTGGCAGTCAGAATGTAGCAGAAATCCATACAAACCTTAAAATCAGAGGAAGTGCCTAAAATGGATTGCAACAATCTTCATTTGTGTTTTTCTTTTGAGCAGATTATGCTTAGGAATTGCATTTCCAAAACTAAGACACAGATAATGAATGGTAGGTCTCCGAGATATCCCCTACTGAGGATTAGTTCAAGACCGCAAGAGACAATAGCGTCTGTAATTGTTCCTGAAAACTGTGGAGAGTCTTTTGTTTTCATTTTATGGGTTCCCCAGTAGACAAAAAACACCAGTTGGTAAGTAGCCATTTTTTGAAGAAATATGAGCAAGCCTTGGGAATAGCGTTCATTATTCATGTCATTAACATAATATTCGATTTGACCACATTTAAGTTTGATTTATAATTAAGACACAGGGAATTTTCATTCTCCAGTGTCTGTAACCAGAAAAGACTATCCATTTCAAATTCCCATTTCCCATCTATAATTCATCCTCCTAATTTAGCTCTGAGTTGCTCATGTTTATAGAAAGAAAGATCTTTCAGTATGAACACTGATACTATGCTATGACTGGAGTTTTAGGTGGTGTCAGGAATAAACCCACTTCATTTTCATATGCCTTCTGGAGCACTGAAATGTTTCCAGTAGAGGTGCAGACTTCCTTAGATAGCATATGTATAGGCTTTTTTAGCCATCTCTTTCAGAATAATCCATTGACTCCTGAGTATCTGCAGACCACAGGCTGGAATCATACTGTTAGATCACTGCTACCCACAAACTACATTTGTGCATCTGCTTTGGAAACAGACACTAAAAATGATATCACCATCTGCTTCCAATGACGATTGAAATTCAATATACTGATTTTATAAAGGAGGAGCAAATTTTAGGCTGTAGACTCTTTGCAGGATAGGGACTGTCACTGATCTGCACAGCTCCTTGCCCAGCAGACCATCATCTGAGAGCCTGTAAAGCACTGCCGTAGAAGAAAGGCTGGCACTGCCTGCGGGCCTGGCTCCACATCGCTTACTTCACCTGTTCCATGGCCTCACACCCTTTTAAATTATTAGTCCTGTGAAATCTCCTGAGGTGAATGTTTACTGTCTGTGGATGATCAGCTGTGATAAAAAATCTGCAGGCCTACTTTGCTCCTCAGTGCTGCCTGCAGTGCTCCACTGTTTGCAGCAGGACAGAACTATTTTAACTGATCTTGTGCCTTACACTTAGATTCCCAGTGAGATTTGGGAGACCAAGCCCTACTGACTAGAGCAGGACTTAAGCTCCTGTAGACCTCTGTGAGTCAGGGTCACGGTTAGCATTTCTGCATCAGATACTCAAAGAGGAACAATGCATCTCTCTTCCCGAGCTGTGTTATCAGTGCTAAGTATGGAGAGCATTCATTTTAGCCCCTTAAGTCTGCAGATCTGACTACTAACACAAGGAAAAAGCTGCTGTATTTTAGAGAGGAAAATAATGACCTGACAAATTGTAAGTGCTCCAATTTACCTGACAGTAACAGTCAACAGTTTCCACTGTGTATTGGGTGGGGAGGAGGGGTTGTAAAAGAAAGGGGGAACAGGGTGAAAACACTGAATTATGTTTAGTTTTATTCTGGTTTAAGTATGTAAATTATAACTTGTAAAAATACAATGCTACATACACACAAAAACAGGAATGCTTTTTTTTTTTTTTTTTTTTAAATCCCAGGCTGAATAATTTGGCCTCTAGTTAGTTAATTTGTCTCACCTTTTTCTTAAACATCAGAAGTGTGTGTTGGGGGGGAAGGACAGACAGACTGTTGTTTAGAGATGGAACAGAGATCTCAGTCTGTTGCCTGGCTGATATGACTTGTTTTGTGCAGAGATCATATGCATCATGATGTTTGAGGCCAGCAAAGAAATTTTGGTCACACTGGTGATGAAGACCCCAGGGGATTTTTTTGCTTTTCTCTGCAGTGTGAGGGAGTAGGTTGCTGCTTCAGACTCTGTACCTATCCTTTGCCTAACTGATTTACTGCCAGGGAATCATAGGTGGGCTACACTTAGGTCTCTCCTATTCGCTGTCTGTGGCACACTTAAGTTTCATTTTTTGTGCTGTAATATTTGGTTTAAGGTCTGTGCTTGTGCTATGTCATGGCATATTTTCTAATGCTTTATCTAGCCTTAATTTTGTTAAAATTATAAATTATTGAGTCTCCTGATGAGCTGGAACTTTTACTGTAGGTCAGTGTTCTGAGCGCATTTCTTTTGGCCAGGAAAAAGCTCAAATGAATGGCTGGATGCTGCAGTTGTTATTTGGAGTCTTCCTTCCAGGCACCAAGAGTCACATCCCAGAGATCCCTCAGCATCCTCACTGCTGAAATAACCCCAAGTTACATTTTGCACCCTCATGGTACAACAAAGCTAAAACAGAGCAAACAAAGAAGTAGAGTGCAGAACCACATCTGAGCTGCATGTACTGATAGCTACCACAAGCAGGTTCCTTCTTTACTAACCTTGTTGCCCTGAACTGTCACTCTGGTCTTCCATGCCCATGTGCGAAGGAAAGAAATAAAATACACCCCGTTTGTTGGAGCCTCACAGCGCGTGGGTATGCCTGGCTCACAGCAGTGCTGTTCTCTAGAGGAGCATTCCATGCGCATTCCCGTCCCTCCAAACTGTCTAACATATTCCTAAAAATCGTTGAGCAATGATTTGTATCCAGATCTCTAGCGTTTCCAGTTAATTTCATCCCCACCCAAGTCACAGCGTTCAAGCAATTTAATGAGTGTTTTACCACACACGGACTCTGTGGGAGTTTTCAACTTTGCATATAGATCAGCAAAAGTGAGTGGAGGCTCCTTTTTGCTCTAACCAGGGACTTTTCCTTTTTTTTGTACTACATTGCTTTTTCTCTTACAGATGCATTCTGCTGCACAGATCTGAGATGCAGCCAAGCTTGTAGGACTACTGTTCGTGCATCTCTGCGCTAAACTGTAGTAGCAGATCCCTCAGAGCAAATGCTGCACGGGGGCCCAATATTTTACACTTGCAGGGGGGAAAATAGCCAAGAAAACTTTATTCTGCATTAAATACAGCAGATAAAGCTCAGCATCTGGAGTGTCTCATGTGTTAGTGATTAAGATCCCTTATTGTTTAGTCATTTTAAAGTACTCCAAGGGACATATTCTGCCCTCATTTTCCTGTCCCCCCAGCTGTATATGACACACTTAGGGGATCTGACTGCTGTGTCATTGTATCAGGCATCAATGGATGGTAGCCAAGGACCTGTCCTTTCACATCCTACCCAATTCTCTCTGCTCCCCATGCCCTGTTCTCATTTTTCATCATCTCATTCTTCTTTCATAGATTCTTACAAACGGTGATATCCAAGCCTGTTCCTTCAGCACTTCAGGGCAGCAGATGCTTTGACTGTGGAAATGCCTCTGAAGATGTGGGCGTTGCACATAGATCCAAACACTACCAAATTCAGGTTCAGCATAATCATCCATATTGATGGAACTGCAAGGATTATATTTAAGTAGTGGGGTCCAATTATTCAAGATGTAATGCTCAGCACTGACAAAGCTTCTGGCTAGTTAAGGAGCTGTTTTGTCTACCCCATGCATTTTTTGCCAGTATTGCCCTTCTCTGTTAACCCTTCGCTAGGATCACCTGCCTCTATTTCCTGCAGCATGATCAGGACCCACAAGTGAAAACAGGTTTGGGCTGTGTCAAATTGTAGATACAACGTAAAGGTTTCCAGTCAATTAAGCAAGCCGAAGAAGTTGTAGGATCAATAACTCAGCAGTCCTACCTCTGAGCAAAGACAATTAACGCAGTAAACAAGGCCGTAGGGTTCTAGATAAGGATGCCATCTTTCTCCTACACGATACTTCTTATCTTGAAACACGCAGTATGTATCTGAATCTGTAAAACAGTAAAGAATTGAAAGAGCTATGAATGAATGTTCCCATTCTGTGCTTACAAAGTGTTTTTAGGTGTGCAGTGTTTTCTGTAACCTATTTTTTTTTCCTCTGGAGAATCACACAACGGAAATGCCCTTAATTTCACGTGCTGTTGCTTCTAACCTCCCAAACCAAAATAAACAACATGGCCTCCCATCTTTCCAAAATTGCAGCTTCTGAAATAGCTGACAAAATGGCTTTCAAACAGGGTGACTTTATCCTTTCACCTGCAAAAACACAGGCTAAGATCCCGTTTAGGTAACAAAATCAAAGTGCTTGGTTGCTCAGATAGGTTTATAGGAAACAAAACCTTTTCACTGCAAAACCAAAGCAATTGGCTCAACTCAGGAAAATCCCAGGTTGTACAGCAGAGAGATTTTGAACCAGGGGACAGCAAAAGGAAGATAAACGCTCTGTATTTACACTGCATGTTCAGTATCTCCATATTTTAACAACCTAATAAAAAAGAAGTTTGTTCCAGTACTTCAGAACCATTTGTGCTGACTTACACATGCATCAGCATTCAAAATATTTTAAGATCTTTCTGTCCATTAAGCACTTCTAATCTTGCAGATGCAGTTTTGCAGATATCCATCTACCTATCAGACATAACTGCCCTGTCTCTCCCTGTCACATTATGGTTTCACATTGAAAACTCAAATCTCTTCAATAAAAGGGTGATTCTCATGTGTTTCCATGAGAGAAGTCCTTCCTGTTATCTTAATGATGTCCAAATTCAGCTTAATTCATCACCCTCAGTATAGATGATACTTCAGGGTATCGAACAAAATACCTGTCTTCCAAGTGATAATCCAAGCAAGGGACATTCTTCACATTTATTGGGCTAAAGGAAGGTAGCAAGAGGTAGGGATTATTAGTAGCAACTGTGAAGCGATCTGCTTTCACTTCACACAAAAGCATGACAAATGAAATGCAGGATCTGAAAAAGCAGACGGCTGAAGTGGAGTTTGATAATTTCTCACACTGTGCTCTTTCAACAGGGATACCTGCACACTGTTTTCTTGTGAGTAAGTTCAGCGCAGAAGGTGGCGTTTTTGGAACTCACTCTTTTTTTTTTTTTTTTGCATCTGCCTCCTTAGAAGCAGAAGCTGCTGATAGTGAGGCTGAAAATTTTAACTGCTTCTCAAGGGCAAACAATGTCTTTTGTAAAAAGGTGGCCAAAACCCAGCCTGTGCAGGTGAGGAGAGCATTCCAGAGAGCTAGTAACAAGGCTGTAGCAGTCAGTAACTCCTAGACTTATTTGGGTAGTTATTCCTCCTTGCCATGCTTTCTGAAATGTATTAACATCTCCCACGGATGACAGGCTTTGTAGAAATATTCCCTTTGTTTTGTTTGTATTCTTTTCAGTTCTTCTCATCAAGTTTCTGACAGTGCTTAGACTCTTAATTTTCTCAAAGGATGCATCTAATCCAGTTCATATGAGGTTGTTTTTGGAACACAACAGAACAGTCTTGGATGAACTTTACACTAGCTGAAAACTTCAGCGCAATAGTCTTACACATGGGACAAAATCCAGATAATCCGTCAGATGTTTACAGAGGTCACTAAAATGGAATTAAGCACTCCTTGATTCAGGATATTTGAAATAAAACAGATTCTAAAATTGATGTGTTATGTTCTTTATGATGCAATGAAACCTGTGCAGCTTCAGGAAAACGTGCCCCAAACATGGGCGTAACCTGATTGTACTAAATGTAGGATTAGAAGGAGGAAGAAAGTTAGAAGAGGTTTTGAATGCAGTTCCACAGTTTAGGACATTCATGTTTGAAGATCTTTTCTGAACCACATCTGTCAAATAGAAGGAAAGTGTCAAATTCGAGTGAAGGTGACAGCTTTGTTTGAAGTCTACTTACGTTTTACTTGTTCTAGTTTACCTCCAGCTATGAAAAGGAGACAGAGCACACCAAAAAAGATAAAATGAAAATCCTCCAATATCCACTTTTTTCTCATCTTTATCGACAAAAGGAAAAGAAAGAGCATCCAAAGTAGAGAATGTTGAGCTGTTGGGAAGAAAAGATTAAATTAATTAAACTAAAATCCTGTAAGATACTTAAATTCTCTGACATGATTTCATCCAGCGCACAGAAATCCTAAACTGCCAGAACCAAAAGATCGGGCTGTATCATGGATCTTCATTTCATGGAAACATCTTTGGCTTCAGATCATTTCATTTTTGGAAAAGGGGCCACATTCCCATTCATGAAAGCTGGAAAGTGCATATTACTTCTAATAAAGTCCTTATTTTATTCCAAAGCAGAGAAATCTGGCAAGTAAGCAATCTAAATTCTTAAAGTTCTCTTTCACAAGAAACTAGTTTGGGAGATTTTCTTGTAGAACAGCTCTTTTGGATGTAACTTAGGAAATACAGGTGTCAGTTGTAACACGTTTGCTTCATCGTAAAGTTACTCTTGGGTATACCTGCTGTGTTGGCCCTGCACTATGGAAATCCACGCTTCGGGTGCGATGCTGGCCACGCTGGCGTCAACGGGAGCTTTCCTCACTGCATCTAGCAGGCTTCCACCACTATTCAATTCACCCCTCCTCCCCTCTCCCAGCTACTATTGTTCTGGGATTGTGTATAATTAATTTTTCTAGCGTTAACCCTTCCGTTGCCCTGGTATCCGAAAGGAGAATGGGGGAATGACGTTGTCTTCATTCCTGTAGATCTTTAATGGCAAAATCTTGCATATGGAGCAAAGCTGAGTGTATTCTTCTCTGCGTGGTGCAGAGATGCTATCGTGCTTACTGTGTGCGCCATTCTGTTTATCTTTTTCTGGCTTTTAAAAGGTGAATTATTTTATAATGAAAAAGACAAGGGAGGAAATAATGAACTAAAGTAGAATTTCTTTGATAGCCAACCTAAGATTCTAAAGTGAGAAATATGTTGATGCTTTACTGTTTATCAGAATTCACTGCAGAAGTATTATCTTCCCAGAGTACACTTGTCCATAATTTACAATGTTGGAAAGATTTGGGTTTGATTTTAAGAGTTTTGATGTGGATTCACAATCAGTTTTACAAAAGTTCAAAAAAAAAAAAAAGATTCACTATTGGAAAATTAAACAATCTGCTTTGTAAACTAATTCGACCTCTTCAGATTTCATGTAAATAATAGAACCGTACATGAATATGTTTCAGCTCACAGATAACCAGAGTAGAAATAATAATTGATATATGTATATTCAAAATTAAGTGGTGGATAACTTACAGAAGTTAACTAAACAGTAAGTTAACAACCACTTAAAAAGAAAATCTTCCTATTAAGACTGTTGATATCCAGGATACTGGAACAAAGGGTGGGTGATCTGATTTTATCAGAGTGTTTTTATTGCCTTTACTGTTTAAGGGTTCTCTACTCTACAGTCCCAAACCACAACCAAAATGGACATCTTCCTTAACTCATCAAATCTATGCAACTACTCTGTCTATACTCAGTAAGATCATTCAAAATAACGCAAATAGCATCTGAAAACATTAAATAAACCCCGCTATTTCAAAAGCACCCTCCCTATGCAGTAGCAAAATAAAACTTTCCATTTATTTTGGAAGCTGAGAATAATATTCCAATTTCAGAAGAAAAGCGTAAGTCATTTTTTCCTTTCAACGTGTTCAAATCACACAGGACATATTTAAGCCAAACAACCTTTTAAAAACTTGTTTAAAATTAAAACCTCATAATTTAGTCCCAGGACATCACGCATGCATTGAGAACAACAGTAGCACATCACTGGGACTAGCAGAAATGTGAATGTTTAAATATTCTGGCCTTCTTGGGGCTTGCTTAGGCAAACAGTATTTATAAATGGAGCACAATTATCCTTTGTGCAGCACTTTACCTGTTAGCTAGATGGGTTAGTTCGAATAGAAAGGCTCAGAAATCCATCCATTTTAAGTGTCAGGTCTTCAAAAGGAAGAACATTTTAAAACTTGGACTGCTTATGCTCAGAAATGCTGCACGGTAATGTGAAACGGAGGAGTTAATAACAGAAATGGGATGGGGACTTTTGATGTCTTTCTTAATTCTCTTTAATTTCTGTATTGTTGTTACTCCAAATATAAACACATACTTTTCACTATTAGCACACTCCCTTTATTTCCCCAAAGGGCAAGGTCCTAAAAATATTCCTGGATTTAAACAATCTCCTTTGGATTAACCTGTTAATTATTGGTGTGTTTTCTGCTTAGGAGAAACAATGAAACTGATCCACTTCTTACCTGAATTACTCACTGAAATAAGGCATGTGGGTCTCTTTTAACGCCTCGCCCCCCAAAGAGCCCGGTTTAGTAACCTCGAGTGGCAGAGTCCGGCCTCGCCACGTTTTACGATTAATGCCAAAAAAAAACCAAAAAACCAAAAAAAAACGGGGCTGAGACTAGCTGGAAGAGGCTGAGCAGCGAGCGGTGCTCCCGGCGGCGGTCAGCCCTGCGGTCAGCCCTACGGACAGCTCTACGGCCGGCCCTGCGGCCAGTCCTACGGCCGGCCCTGCGGTCAGCCCTGCGGCCAGCCTTGCGGTCGGCCCTGCGGTCGGCCCCATGGACAGCCCTGCG